TTTTTTTATAAGATGGTGTCTCACTCCATTGCCCAGAGACAATTGTCTCACTCTATTGCCCAGCGGCTCACTGCAAGCTAAGCCTGCCGGGTTCAAGAGCTTCTCCTGCGTCAGCCTCCAGAGTAGCTGGGATTACAGGCACGCAGCACCACACCTGGCTAATTTTTGTATTTTTAGTAGAGATATGGTTTATCCGTGTTGGCCAGGACGGTCTCAAGTGGTCTCCCCGCCTCAGCCTCCCAAACTGCTGTGATTCCCGGCGTGAGCCGCTGTGCCCAGCCTCTCCCTGAATCTTTATATGCCTGCAGCGCCAAGAGGGAGCTCCTGGCCTCTGGGGTATGGTCGGGGCCCCAGGGGCTCAGGGTCAAGGCTACAGCCGCCTCCCAAGGACGTGCATCTCTGCAAGAGGCTGCAGCCAGCAGGCAGGGAAGAGGCTCCGCCGGGGCCTGCTCGGAGTCCGGCTGGGGACCGCGGGCGAGGTGCTCCTTGGAGACGGGGGAATCCCGCCCATCTCAGGGGTTCACTCCTGGCCTGCGGCCCTGGATCTTCCAGCCTGGGCCGGGGCGGGGAGCAGACCTCGGCCTTCTTGGCTGGGGCTGAGTGTAGGGGTCCGGCTGCCGCAAAGTCCTAGCCCCGCGCTCCCAGCCCCTGGCCCCACGGGCAGCGTCCGGCCCCGCCCTCCCCTCCAGGCCTGGCACTCGCCCTCAACCAACATGGCGCCCGCGGGCTCAGCACGTCCGGCGGCACGCCGCCGGGCTCCTCCCTCACTGCTCTTAACGGCCTCAGGCTGCGGCCGGGCGGCGGCGCGGGAGGCGGGAGGCGGGAGGCGGCGGCGCGGGAGGCGGGAGGCGGGAGGCGGCGGCGCGGGAGGCGGGAGGCGGCGGCGCGGGAGGCGGGGCGCGGGAAGCAGGAGGCGGCGGCGCGGGAAGCATGGCCCGGAGGCGCGCGGCGGCTTGGGCCGCGCTCGGGCCGCTGCTGTGGGGCTGCGCGCTGGCGCTGCAGGGCGGGATGCTGTATCCCCGGGAGAGCCCGTCGCGGGAGCGCAAGTCGCTGGACGGCCTGTGGAGCTTCCGCGCCGACTTCTCCGACACGCGGCGCCGCGGCTTCGAGGAGCAGTGGTACCGGCGGCCGCTGCGGGAGGTGCGGGCCCGGCGCGGGCCGGGGCGGGGCGGGGCGGGGGTGCCTGGCGGGGTCGGGGAGCTCGGGCCCCCGCAGGCTTTTTTCTTCGAGTGCCTCGGAGTTGGAGGCCCGGAGGAGGTTAAAGCTCAACGGGCTTGTGGGTGCGGGTTGGGGGACGGGAGGACCGAGGGGACTCGGGAGGGCCGGGGCGGAGGAGGCGGGAGGAGGGCTGAGCCCGGGCAGCGTCCTTCTTTGTCAGGGTCCTTTTTAATTTAAAATTGTTTTCGAGACTGGGTTTGGCCGTGTCGCGCAGGCTGGAGCTCAGGGGCGCAGTCCTGACCTAGGAGCTCAGGCGATCCTCCGGCCCCTGCCTTGCAAGCTAGCTGGGGCTTCCACGCCTGGCTTATTAACACAAAGCAAAACAAAACAGCTTTTCTTTTGTAGATACAGTGCCTCACTGCGTTGCCCAGGTTGGTCTCGAACCCCTGGCCTCAAGCCATCGTCCCACATTGACCTCCCAAAGCGCTGATTACAGGCGTGAGCCAGCCAGACCCTCTTCTGGCCAGTCTGGCCAGAGCGGTGTGCGCTGCCCAGAGCTGGGCCCGGGGATCCTGAGGAGGGGACAGTTTAGACATCCTGAGGTCAGCTCCGCAGGGCCAGGAAGGTTCCTTGGTTTCCAAGGTTCAGATAGAGGACGGGATGTGACATCAGGCCAAGGACGCCACCCCACTTCCCCTCCTGACTTGGATGTGGTCGGCAGAGAAGTGGGACCGGGTGAGGCCTGGGCCGCTTCTGCCTGGTCTACATCCTCTTTTTCTGACTTTGTGGCATTTAGTACAGGAGGAAGAGAAGAGAGGGCTCGGTGCCAGCGGGCGCCCCACGCACAGTGTGCTAGGCAAAGCCCCCCAGCCCCCCCAACCAGCCTTCCTTCCTGTGACGGGCAGTGGGTCATCTGCCTCTTAGTCACGGTTCTGAACCTTCTTTCCGGGGCTGGGATGTGGCCCTGGGCTCACTCCTGTCTCACTCCGAGGAGGAACTCCTGGCCACACTGGCAGTTGACCTATCATCAGCAAGTTCTGTCCACTGCACCAGGAGTCCCGCTATGTGTCAGGGCATGTGCTAGGCCTGGGGGCACAGCTGTGAAGCACGCTGGTCCAGGATCCCTTTGGGGGCCTAGGAGCCGATCCCCGCTCTTCTCTCCACAGTCGGGCCCCACCCTGGACATGCCGGTTCCCTCCAGCTTCAATGACATCAGCCAGGACTGGCGGCTGCGGCATTTTGTCGGCTGGGTGTGGTACGAACGGGAGGTGACCCTGCCGGAGCGGTGGACCCAGGACCTGCGCACAAGAGTGGTGCTGAGGATTGGCAGTGCCCACTCCTATGCCATCGTGGTCAGTGTGGCCAGGAGCAGGCAGGGTGGGTGGTGGGCACGGCTGCTGAACAGCATGGGACTGCCAGCTGCCACCCACAGCCTGTCTCCTGGGGTGGGATGGTGGGGGCCCTGCCCTGGAGGCTGCGCCCTGTGTAGGGGGATGGGTGGCCTCATCTGCCCCATTGGGATGCCATCCTTCCCATGTGGTTGGCAGGCCTCTGAGTCCCATGCTGCAGGTTATGAGAGGGAGTATCTGATAGCAGGGCCCCTCCTCATGCTCTGAACTGCCGCCCCCTCCCCATATCTCCTGTGTCTGCAGTGGGTGAACGGGGTCAACACACTTGAGCATGAGGGTGGCTACCTCCCCTTCGAGGTCGACATCAGCAGCCTGGTCCAGGTGGGGCCCCTGTCCTCCCACCTCCGCGTCACTATCGCCATCAACAACACGCTCACCCCCTCCACCCTGCCACCAGGGACCATCCGCTACATGACCGACGCCTCCAGGTGGATACCGTCCTGCCCCACCCCGTGGTCTTCCTGCTAGGGACAGGGTGACCTTCGAAGAGTGCAGGCTCTGGGTCTAGGGACGACCCAGGCGAAGGGCCCAGCAAACCACAGTCCTCCCACCCCAGGTACCCCAAAGGTTACTTTGTCCAGAACACAGACTTTGACTTCTTCAACTACGCGGGACTGCAGCGGTCTGTGCTTCTGTACACGACACCCACCACCTACATCGATGACATCACCGTCACCACCGGCGTGCAGCAAGACAGTGGTGAGTGCTTCCGGTAGGATCTGCCCTCAGCAGGGCTCAGGTGGCTCTGTTCCCTGTTCAGAAAGCTCTCCCAGGAAAAGGTTCTCGCAGCATCTCTAAACCCTCACAGGTTCCCATCCACCTACAAAGCAGAAATCCAGACGTTTGGAACAGGCACAGGCTCCCAAAACCACCTGTGTGGTTGACCTCGCTTGTACAAGAGGGGTCTGGCCTAACGTCACACAGCTCAGGGGGGCAATCCTGTCCCTTCCCACGGTGCCGCCCTCTGTCCAGCTCCCCTCTGCCCCTTCCCACGGTGTCACCCTCTCTCCAGCTCCCCCTGTCCCTTCCCACGGTGCCTCCCTCTCTCCAGCTCCCCCTGCCCCTTCCCACAGCGTCACCCTCACCAGCTCCCCTCCGCCCCTTCCCACGGTGCCACCCTCACACCAGCTCCCCTCTGCCCCTTCCCACGGTGCCGCCCTCTCTCCAGCTCCCCTCTGCCCCTTCCCACGGTGCCACCCTCACCAGCTCCCCTCTACCCCTTCCCACGGTGCCGCCCTCTGTCCACCTCCCCTCTGCTCCTTCCCACGGTGCCGCCCTCTCTCCAGCTCCCCTCTGCCCCTTCCCACGGTGCCACCCTCTCCAGTTTCCCTCTGCCCCATCCCACGGTGCTGCCCTCACACCAGCTCCCCTCCACCCCTTCCCACGGTGCCACCCTCACCAGCTCCCCTCTGCCCCTTCCCATGGTGCCGCCCTCTCTCCAGCTCCCCTCTGCCCCCTCCCATGGTGCTGCCCTCTCTCCAGCTCTCCCCTCTGCCCCTTCCCACGGTGCCGCCCTCTCTCCAGCTCCCCTCTGCCCTTTCCCACGGTGCCGCCCTCTCTCCAGCTCTCCCCTCTGCCCCTTCCCACGGTGCCGCCCTCTCTCCAGCTCCCCTCTGCCCCTTCCCATGGTGCCACCCTCTCTCCAGCTCCCCTCTGCCCCTTCCCACGGTGCTGCCCTCTCTCCAGCTCCCCTCTGCCCCTTCCCACGGTGCCGCCCTCTCTCCAGCTCCCCTCTGCCCCTTCCCACGGTGCCACCCTCACCAGCTCCCCCTGCCCCTTCCCACGGTGCCGCCCTCTCTTCAGCTCCCCTCTGCCCCTTCCCACGGTGCTGCCCTCACACCAGCTCCCCTCTGCCCCTTCCCACGGTGCCGCCCTCTCTCCAGCTCCCCTCTGCCCCTTCCCACGGTGCCGCCCTCACCAGCTCCCCTCTGTCCCTTCCCACGGTGCCATCCTCACACCACCTCCCCTCTGCCCCTTCCCACGGTGCTGCCCTCTCTCCAGCTCTCCTCTGCCCCTTCCCACGGTGCAGCCCTCAAACCAGCTCCCCTCTGCCCCGTCCCACAGTGCCACCCTCTCTCCAGCTTTCCTCTGCCCCTTCCCATGGTGCAGCCCTCACACCAGCTCCCCTCTGCCCCTTCCCACGGTGCCGCCCTCTCTCCAGCTCCCCTTGCTACACATGGTGCTCAAGGGACAGGCAGTTTCAGGGGGCTGGGTTTGGCAGTTCACGCCTGTCATCCCAGCACTTTGCAAGTGAGAGTGCAAGGAGAATCACTTGAGGTCAGGAGTTGAAGACCAGCCTGGGCAACATAGTGAGACCATCACCACAAAAAAATTTAAAAATTAGCCAGGTATGATGATTCGTGCCAATAGTCCCAGCTGCTGTGGCAGGAGAATCACTTGAGCCTGGGAGGTCAAGGGGTCAGGCAACGATGACCATGCCACTGGTATATTTTTTTTTTTTTGAGACGGAGTTTCACTCATGTTACCCAGGCTGGAGTGCAATGGCGCTATCTCGGCTCACCGCAACCTCCGCCTCCTGGGTTCAGGCAATTCTCCTGTCTCAGCCTCCTGAGTAGCTGGGATTACAGGCACGCACCA